ACCCACTTCTAAACTCCGAGCCCTCATGCAGTAATTCAGTGTGAAATGGTTGACAGGGAAGAGTGAAAAATGGCTCCCAGAAACAGTTAATGACAAAAAAAACAGTGACATGCACACCAGTCAGTGATGTCTTATCCATTTAGACACACGCACACACACACTCTTGTTAATGATTTGTCATCTTCTGTTTTGTGTCACGTGCTGAAACTGTGCCAGTGGCTTCCATGGAAACACTTCTGAGTATTGGCCACTAAATAAATGGCTTTTGGATTGGAACAGTCTCCGTTGGCTGAATGAGATGTTTGGAATGCACTGACAGAGCCAGGGGTGCATTGTTTGGCAGTATAATAAATGTGATTCTGCTTCCAATAATTGGTAATGTTCTTCTGTCAATTACTCTTGATTGGTAGTCAACAGAAAACCAATGGGTCAATTTTCTGTTGTTTGTTTCCTTATACGTTTAACATTAAAGTGTATGCTTGTAAATCTAATTTCCATGGATACTTGATTCTTTCATTTTAAACTGAAAAAGGTATTTTTTATAAACAAGTGACAGACAGGAGTAGAAATGTTGTCTTCCTCTCAGATATGCTTTCTATTTTTCATGCGGCTTAGATAGATTTAGGGGATCAGTTTGAGGTTTATATTTTTGCTCCTCTCTACATTATCCTCTTCACTTCTCTTCAAACCTTCTCTCCTCTAAACCCTCAGTCATCAGTCCACACTGCCTCTCACACGCACGGAGACACAAGCCCGACTGTAAAGTACAACAATGCAGAGTTGACAAGGAGTGATAGCAGTGGGCTGACACTGTGAGAGGATTAGGAAGATGATCATATGAGCGGGGAATCTTTTTTCTTTAAATAGAACTCTCTCTGGGCCTCGATGATTGCTCAAACTTTGCAACATACTGCAGGGATAGTTGGCCATTTATTGCTCTTGTGCAAATGAATTGTCATATAAAATTACCAGTATGGGGTTTGCTTTGAGGTGAATCCTGTGTCTTCAGAAATACCTGTTTGTGATTAGGTCAGAAAAAGTACCTTTTCTATATATTTTTTTGGTTTATAATGATCCACATAGCACTTGATGTCTGTGAGTCATATCATCCTTTGGTTAAAAACATCTCCCTGACAGAAGAGAGGAGCCCCTTGACGTGTGCAGTCATTAGATATTGTGGAAAACCAGAATTAGAGCTGTGTTGGCTGTAGGGCTGCTCTGACGCCACCGTGAGATAAAGCAGAGAAAGGAAGCTGAAGAGCAGAGGCCACAGGTGTGTGCTGCTTTCTTCATGCTGAACTCATTAATGGCATATCCTGCAAACCTGTCTGCTTGTACTAATAACATCATGAGCAATGTGCTACTTTAACATTGGTGCGTGTGATTGCAGTTGATTTACAAAATATGGTTACGAAGGCTACAACATTTCATAATCACTACAAGTAATTATCTCAGTGTAATGTCAATCAACCGAGTGAACATGGCAGATTAAGCAACCGACCGTGTTGCTTTATTTTAAATGACATCTTAATGCCAGATTGTGAAAAAAGTGAATTAATTAGTGTGCATACGAATGCTGATGCGTTTGCGTGTGTGCACAATCATAAAGCTTGTATGATCTGTTGTTGTGCGCTAAATCCCATTAAAAAAATCATCACGTTAAATGCAAATGAGTTTCCCAATTAAACTTATCTTGCAAATCTGACACTTAAAAAAAGCGGACTTTACCATAATTGTGCGTGCAAGCATGCGTGTGTGTGTGTGTGTGTGTTAAGAACTGAGATTTATGGTTGATGATGGATTAGTTTAGCTCAGGTACAGTATAAGGGTTGAGTTATGGCATTAAAGCTGCTTACTAGTGTTATGCATGTTTTAGCATGTTAAGTATGATGTATATCTTACATTACAGTCAAAGCATACCAGTTTTTCAGAGCATGACATAAGTTTCTAGTACAGGATGAAGATTTACTTGTAGAGAATCTAAACGTTTTTGTTATAAGTAATCCATTGCATGTTTATTTAGTTGCCTACATTGTTAGAGTCACAGGTCACATTGTCCCTGTGTAAAGTATGTAGATACAATGTGAAACTGTTTTGTTTCATATTCAAAGGATTGCGTTCAAAGGTCTGAAATGTCAAATGTATTGGGATATGTTCCTAAAAGCACCAAAGAAATTGATTTTTAAAATAGTTTCGTCCTGTTATAATGACATGCACCCTGCGTAAAGGATTAGAAACATGGGAGTATTCATGTTGTGAGGGATAATCTCAAGCATGTTTCTAGTCTTTGCAAATTGATTTTCATGCTGTTCTTAGTTAATATGAAACAGTGGCTGCCCATGGGAGTGAGAAAATCTATGACATTAAGGTCACCAACACATTCGTAGTAAAAGGCCTAAAACATGCAAAATCAATAGAGTATATGAAAGAAATGTCCTTAGAAAGATTGAAGTAGACAGTATGCTCATCTTTTGGTTTTAGGGTCAAGCACATTGACACAAGTGTTGCCTGCCTGTCTGTCTCTGCTTGTCTGCATGGATCACGCCAAAAGGTGGCATAAAGCAGAAAAAACCCTCAGTTTAGCCCTTCCAATAATCCTGAATAACATGTAGCAGGAATTACAGCACGTAACAGCACGGTATGTTCAGTGGACATCTCGGAGCTGTTCTGACAGATCATCCCTTGTGCCCACTCTATGGCTGACTGACTTTTGAAGGAAAAGAGAGATTGTGAAAGCGAGACAGTGAGATGGACAGAAAAGCCAATAAAAAAAATTGAGTGACAAGTATACTATGCATGGCTACATAAATATACACATGTAACTAGCGACCCGCTCACTCACACACGTCGTTCTAAAATCCATCGAGAAGACACACAATCAGGATCACAAACACCATTCTTACTGTTCAAACAGAGATATGAAGAGTCTGTTGTCTCACCTGCAGTTGAATACACACCATAACTAATGTACATGTTTAGACATATTTGTGGATGACATGGACATGATCACACCTTGTCGCAGCATTGATCCACCTGTACAAACTCACGATGAAGAGATCAGCAGCCGGAGACTGTCAGACAACGTGTGAATCAGAAGGACATCATAAAATCGACATGGCAATAACATGGTAATTAGGCACAACAGGAAAACCATGTGAAGTTATCTTGGGCGGTGCTGCCAGTGTGTGTCAGCTGGAGCACTTTTTTTATATGTGAATGTTGAATAGATGCTGTGCCCGGTGCTTCAGCCAGGCTCCATAGAATGTGTTATTTCAGGTGCAAAAAAATTCAAATTCACCAGAGAACCTCTGCACTGTTCCTGCCAAGGCTGACGCATCCCTGCCTCACTATTGTAGACTCAGACATGCTGGCATACTGAGCACTTTTGGCAGACTGGTGAAATATGTGCTTTGAAGTCCTTTGTCGTGAATGAAGTGATTTTCTGTCCGGTACTGAGCAGCAGTAGGACAGCTGATTCACATATACATAAACCTTTTACAGAGCAGAGATGGAGCATGTTCTGAGTACAAAATAATCAAATCCCAATCACTTCTGTTTTCTCCCATTTAACCCTCAACATAAATGGAAGATGATTGTATGCGTTAGGAAATCGCCTCCTTAAGGAACTGTTGATAATAATGACACGTTGTCAAGAGTAATAGCGTTTACCAGCATGCGCATTAGTTTGACATAAAAAGAGAGACAGACATGTTTGCTCACACATTAAACAGTAAAGAGCTAATTCTGGAACCACACTGTGACTCATGCTAGTTCACACTTCTTATGAATGATGAAAGAGATTGGTTATGAGAACGCAGGTTTAAACAATAGGCCTTTACTCAATGCTGTTATAGCTAAGCACTCATCACCATGGTGTGTTTCGTGTCGACTATTGGAACAGCAATAATAGATCTAACGGCAGTAAAGAGAACATGTTGTTTTTCTCTGCCCCTGAGGCTCACAACAGAAATGCACATAGTCTAAACAGATGGGGTACTTTTCACAAGATACTACAAAATATTGTACAAACATAACACCAACTGATTGTTGTATGATGACCCCCACCAAGCATTTATCTGTGTTTGTGTATGTGTGAGAGATTGTTCTTTTGCTATTTATAAACTGCATGCAAATAACAAAACAGAGCAGGCTTTTTGTAACTCATGACATGCTAGTGATATGCAAGGCTTGGTCTAATGCAGTGGTTCCTTAAGTGGGATCTAGGGACCTCCCAATCTCCCCGAGGTGCTCCAAGGGCTCTAGCAAAATGAGGAACAGTTTAATTTCACTATTATTTCACTCCCTCGATAATGGCTCAATGGGAGCATGTATTACTCTGAAATCTATTCTCATTAGAGATTCAAGTTTTTTTCTTCCCACTGTTGTCAGACACCCAGTGCAGACAGTTTTGCAGCTGTATGGCCAATTAAGGACTATAAAAAGAAAGAAAAGGTCCTTGGGACAAAAGATCAGTCTGTTGTCTAATTTGTATCTCTCGCTCTCCCCTTTCATTTGAGGGGCTAAAGGACTTGAGTATTAATATAGTGTGTGGCCAGTGGAGAATAACCTTGTGAACTGCGGTTTGATCCATCACATCTAGATGTACTGACACACAGCAAATAATAATGCTTCAGCAGAGTGTAATGCTCGGAGATATAGCCTTGTGACCCGGGCGCAACTCATAAACTGCAGTGCGGCATCAGCCGTATTAATATCACATACTTGTCCCCATGTTTCCTTTCAAAAATGAATATTTAATTCCCAGAAATATTCCGTGCAAATTAAAGATGCTCTTCAAATGGCGCATCGTCTTTAATAACACATCTGCGGGGCAACGCGGTGCATTATGAATGTGTCATATTTAAACATGGTGTTTCATAACCGTATAAAGTAGCATTACATCGGTACACATTATAAAGGCATAACTCGCATTATGGCTGCGTTAGAAAATAGCTACAATCGCGTAATTGATTTCGGGGCTAAAGTTAAGACTTACTCACCCCTTTTGAACATTGTGTAGGCCTAGGTGTATTTCGTCTTCTTTCCTCTGAGAATCATCTATTCTTATATTCCAGACTTTAAACTTGCGCGCTTCAGTTTTTAAAGTTGATCCGGAGCTTTCTCGGTTTGCCGTGTGAATGTCAGTTGTCACTCCTCAAGATTTTCTCGCAGTCCACTGTAGTGAGTTGCAATGCAGACTGCACTGACAACAAACAATTATCTCCTTTTCCACAAAGTCTGGCAGACCGTAGACGGACCTTGGAAATTAGTCGACAATCGTTGCAAAACGACCCCTCTGAATTCATCCCCTCGGTCCGAAATAATGGAAACTCCAGTATCTGTGAAGAGCACAAACGCACAGTCCGAAACAACCTCTGATAGCCAACTCCTTTTTGGACGCAAATAACCGAACAGGCTGCCAATCAGTTCTGGGGGCAAGTGGACGATGAACAGCAATCCTCCAAAAAAACACTTAGGCTATTTCATTTCTTCGCGAGGTGCTTCAGAGCCGTTCTAATCGCATATTCGTTAACATCTCTAATTAACATAAGTTTTGTGGATTCACATCCTCCTCTAATGTCGGATTATAAACGCAGACTCCTCGAATCCTCCTTAAAAATAAGACTTCGGTCTCTTCAAAATCGCTTCTTTTTTCAGCACTCCTTTCCACTCGAAATTGTAAAATTTCTCTGATCTCGACTGTGAATGTCTCTCTGCTTCCCAGCTATGGATCAGAGCTCGTTGATGCGATCAAGGAGGGAGAAAGTGTGTTGTACTGCCTCAGCCCCTCCACCGGGCAGCATCCTGCTCCATCCCTCTCTGTCCCTGCCTGCGCCGGGCTGACTGATCCCTGACACCAGAGGTCTTCAAGAAAATATGAAATGACACAACAAGCATTAAACCTACATGTAACAACAATGTATTAAGCAGTAGAAATCAGGGGAAAAGGTCTCAGATGCTGAGCTAATTTTGCAGAGGGAGACAGCTTTCATAACAAAAAAAACAACGTATTTGCTGATCAATTAGCCCCCACCCTAATACATTAGGCTACTTATAGATAAGTTAACGGACTAATGCACTCGAATCCAGTGCATTATCTGGATAATCTCTCTCTCTCTCTCTCTCTCTCTCTCTCTCTCTCTCTCTCTCTCTCTCTCTCTCTCTCTCTCTCTATGTCTCTGTCCCTCTCTCTCTCTCTCTCTCTCTCGCTCACACACACACACACACACACACACACACACACACACACACACACACACACACACACACACACACACACACACACACACACACACACACACACACACACACACACATACACACATTCTGTATCTCTCTCTTACACACGTACACACAATCACACTAAACGTTAATTCAAAAAGACTGCGAAGACAACACATTTTTTATGTGCATTTTATGTGGAAAGCATAACCGAATTAATTGTGTGATGTAAAGTGTACATTATCTTCCCTCTTTCACTTGGTATTTTGTTTTATTTTCATAATCATTTTCACCTTTTGTGTCCTATAAAAAAGAGCACTAAATAATTATAAACCCTGAGATACTATGCAGCTCTCAATGGTAAACATTTGACCACGAAATATTTTATTTTTGCTGTATCCTATTGTATTAGTTTGTTGTTTTGCATTCATTTTGCTTGTGAAGTGAAATTGTGAAGCATCATACTAATAGGTCTTTGCACAATTTATGTATTTAAATTCTTATTTCAATGATTGTATTATTGCCGATGTGGACGATCCAAGTAAACTTTCGCGTCTATCGGTATGATCCTTTCACCCTGTCCCGTTCACTGACATCGATAACATCGGTGCTCGACTTCTCTCCACTGACCTCTTCACTCGATTGGTTTCGCCTTTCTATTCCTCACATGGTTCATGTTTTGGTGAGAAAACATGGCAGCGCTCACGAATGAAGTTCAGATTGTTCCTGCCAAAAAGCCTACAGGTAAATATTAACATTGAACATGTAACATTTAATTCTGGATAAAGACACATATGTAACTGCGATTGTTAGAAAGGCACATCGTTTCCACGCCGATTTGGTGTAGCGTAAGTTTCACACATAGGCTACTTAACGAGCTCTTTGTAGCATTCTGGGGTTATCAATGCAAACCACAAATTGTGTAAAGGTAACCACACGTCTGGGGGTCACGGTGTTAACTTGTTATCCAGCTATGTTTAATACAAACAGTGTTTGTCTCGTAGTTAGCTTCCGACGAGCGTTTAGTGTGTTGTCTCACCAGACTTCATGGGGCTAACAGACAGATGAGTTGTGTATCCTATTTATAGTGTTTATTAAGCATGGTAGGTGTTATTGTCACCAAGAAAATCCAATTAATACGTGACATTTCTCTGATTGCATAAATACATCTTACTGCTAAACATAACATGATTTCATACGACTACATCGTGGTAAAATCACGTTTTCAATCAATCTGCACTTAAAACTGTGTTTCAGCTAAAGACTTTCAAGACATAAAGTATGAAAAAACATAGTTTTGGGTGTGGTGATATACATTTTCTGTTTATAGAAAACACTGGTATATCTTGAACGTCTTGCAGAGACAACAGTCCTGAGTTAGCTGATATTTCAAAAGATAAACAAGGGGCACGTGGAGGCCAAATGGTTTCAACTGTAGGTCTAAATACAGATTGTCAGTCCTTTTCTCTCTGATCAGCAAAAGTCTGCAGGTTATCTCTATCAAATCCATATTTCCAAACATACATTATTGTCTGGCAGAGTAGTATTCGTTCACTGGCTGCAGTAATTACGACAACTACTGTCTTGACTCTGTATCAAGTTTTTTTATTTTTGAAAAAGTAATAATCTTACAAATGAAACACAATACAACTTTGATCAAGTTATTTATTCATCTCAAAACAGTGCCAGCCATTTAAGATAAAACGGTACAAACTAAAATAATGGTATCTATGCCTATGAAAAATTATCCATAATGTTAAAATGTGAATGTTACCCTAAAAATGCTGCATGGCATGAGAGTGTAACCAATGACAAATGAAAAAAAGTGATCTTGTAACTTGTGATCTAAAAATAAAATGTCTAGCTGTAATGTACTTGAGAAAACTACGTCAAGCTCTGCCAGTAAAATCAGAGCTATATATCTATCAACTTTCCCATTTTGCCTAGAATTTCAAGCTAGCCAGTAGCTTCTTAAAAGTTATTAAGATGCTGACATCCACAGATGTGTGGTGATCTCCAATTCCACATCCCTCATACCTTTTGAAGGTGTCATGTAGAGCAGGGAGACACATTTGTACAATTTTGATGTGGAAACAAACTTTCCTGAACTGTATTACCCACCTTCACAGTTCCAATCGAACTTGCAGGACATGTCTGACGCCTGTTTTAAAGCATGAATTTAGCTTTATTTATGATTACTTTAACATAATTGCCTTAAGGTGACTTTTTGCACAATAATCTCAGTTAGGTCTTATAGTTTAAGTGTCCTTGCTTAAACCCTTTGATTACAGCGCTACTTTCACAACTTTCTCCTCAGTCCGTGGACCTCGGCGGGTAGCCAATCAAATTCCAGATGAAATCCTGCAGGATGCTGAGTTACAGGAGGCGATCAAAGCCTTGCCTGCAAATTACAACTTTGAGATCCACAAGACGGTTTGGCGAGTGAGACAAGCAAAATCTACCAGAGGTGAGCTACATTCTTGCAGTTGTAGAATGTTTAATTGCAGAGCTGGAATGGTGTATGGATGGTCTTGATTTTTAGATACAAATCTAGGTTTATAAGGACATTATGGCCACGTTTACACGGAGACGAAAACGAACCGATGTCGATATCAACGATGCCGATGGCTATATTCAGAGCTCTGCTGCCTTCATACAAAAGGTTCAGCGAGCTGCAAACACGTTCCCCTCCACTGGTTTCAACCAAGCACTAAATGCGATGTTTTCCAACCAAATACGGTTGAACTTACACTTCCCCATATTTATTTGTAAGTAGATTCGAAGATACCTGAGTTTCTGACTGCCGCTAGCTGAAGCTTGGTTGGTTGCTAGGTTATTAGCTGGGTGTTCTCCGATAAGGGGCCGGGGGAAACAAAGTTAGTGATGACTGGTTCCATGTTGATTTATTTCAATACAAATTGTTGGGGGGAACTGAAAGGCTATTACCGTACTGGTTACTTTGCAGCCTGGACATTTCCCCGCGGGAACCCTGCCTTCTGTTTATTCTCCGCGGTGGATTTAGCAACATGTAGTTCATGTAGTTCTCCATGTCCACTTGTTGCTAGAGATGTCCCGATCCGATCACGTGATCGGGGATCGAAGCCGATCACGTGATTTTCAAAAGATCGGAATCGGGAGAAAAAAATCGGGGATCCGGAATTTTTTTAATTTAAAAAAAAAAATTATTTTATTTAATGTTACAAAACAAAAATGACCATGTTCACGTCTTAAAGTCATCCTGAGGCCTTAGTTTTGGTTTAAAATTACACAACATCATGTATGTGTTGCTTCTTTTGGGCTTGTTTTCATAGACCTGGTTGCTTATTTCTCTCAAATCTGGCAACAGAGTGGGCAGGGCGCAGTGTCTAATAGTAGCAGTAAGCTAACAAGAGGCTACGTTCAGCTGGTGCCTCGGGAGTCGGGACAGAGAAAATGTCAGGAGTTTGGAAGTATTATAAAATTGAAAGCGAAGGCAGTGTAACAGCCAGATGCAATGTTTGCAAGGCGGAGGTTCCGCGTGGTGGAAAGAACAGAGCTACGTTCAACACGACCAATCTAATACAAACACCAACAACAACACGACGAGTACACAGCGGCCACTCAGGTAACGGCACTGAAACAACCGACACTTTCAGAGACTTTTAAAAGGAAAGAGAAACTGCCCCAGAACAGTGAAAAGGCCAAAAAAATAACAGCCAAGATAGCTGAATTCATCGCGTTGGATGACCAGCCGTTATCTGTTACCTTTTTTTTCTCTTAATGCATTGCATAAAGATCGGATTGGGAAAAATCGGTATCGGCAGATTGTCAAAATCAAATGATCGGAATCGGATCGGGAGCAAAAAAAGGTGATCGGGACATCCCTACTTGTTGCTGATAGTTGTGGTAGAGGAGCTGTAGATTTTGCACTAACATCTGTAGCACGGTCAGTAGCGTCTGGAGCACGAAAGCAACCCTTTGATCCGCCATTGTTGTTGTTGTTGGCGAAACACATCAGCAATGACGCGGGTGACGTGAGGGTGAGCAGCAGAGGTGGGGAGAGGATCGTATAGGACGTACACACGGAGCCGTTTGGCCCCCCAGAGCGTTTTGCAGATCTACCCACCTTTGGAGCCGTTATCGTTTGAGGGCTCCGTTTCCGCGGTTCCGTTACGGCCTCGTGTGGACGAACCATCCATACGATAGAGAACTGTAGCGGATACAACACGCTTCGTCTCCGTGTAAACGTGGTCTATGTAAAGCAGAGCCGACCATGCTTGGAGTCTAACCAGGCCCTACAATCTAAAGTAATTGTGCTTTTAAACTACACAACTGATTTCTGTCAAGGATCTACAATAAATATGTTTTTTTTACAAGGGAATAGCTCTAACTTATAGTAATAATAATTAGAAGAGATGGAGCACAATTAAAAAAATTCTAAGGAGCCTCTGTCTCTAAACCTGACACTGACAACTATTTTATTGGACAACCATACTCTTTGTCTTCTTGATTTAAAAATGTATTTTTGTATGTTTTATGTCCATTCATGTCACAACAAAACACAACTAGTAGTAGATTTACTCACACCTCATTAACAACTACTATGCAAAATCAGCAGAACAGAGTGAATGTCTAAATGCAGGGGGTGCATAGCGTTAAGAATTTCATGTGTTCGAGCATCCATTCAAAATGCCATCCATGAATGCATCTGTGCTTTGACCTACTTTTCCGACTTTATTGTACAATCTGTAACCTGCGAGGTACACACAGGTGTAGATGAAGATGTTTTGAACATTTTAAAGTAAAATGCTTCAATCTGGTATACTTTGAGCACACAATTACTAGAGACCTGATCTAGGGGGTACAACTCTAAAACACCTATATGAAAAAGATCAGTTTACATTTTAATAATCAAATAAGTATGTGAACATAACCAATAACCTACCATAGCCAATAACAAATAAATGTAACTTATTTTATTTTTGTTGTTCATTTATATCTTATTTTACCTAGTTAACATTCATTTATTTATGCATAATTTTGTATCTCTCCAACTTTAAACGATATTTTTGGTTTACTGTCCTATAGTATACATTGGAATGATTTCAAACCTGTTTTTATTTATCCTAATAATTATAAAGGAGTGCCTTGGAAATATGTGTTTACATAATTTGTGGTCAAAACGTTTGAGACCCACTGAGATAACTTAGACTAAAATGAACTATCTAAACACTCAGAGAGTCCTTTACCTCACTGAGCCTCTTATGTCGCGTTTCCACTACACGGCCTCGCTCGGCCCCGCTCGGTATGGCTGGGCCTCGTTAGGACTGGCTCACTTTATGGCGCATTTCCATTACAGTTTAGGAACTGGGGCAGTATCTATAGTAACGCAGTGTAGGCGGAGCCGTGACGTGATCTTCAGAGGACCCCAGAAAAACAACACAGCCGTTAGCTGTTAGCACTCAGAGCTCACAGCTCCTCATATATGTTCAGAAACTAGACAACAGTTAAACAAGTACAAACCACAGACTGCCTGTGTCATGGTGAATACAGTCGCTGCTTTATTTATGTCTGTATAGGCCGTTGTTGTGAGTGTGGACGGTCGGAGCATATACTGCGTTAGCTTAGCCAATCTCCATTTAGAAAACAAGCATTTTAAAAGGTTTTTCCCCTGCCGTCTGTCTGCAGACTTGACAAAGCATTAATTCATGGTTTTTACTAACCGGTATCAGTATGTTGTTACTTCGGCATCATTTTGAAACGTGTATTACAATGAAATCACGGTCAAATATGTCCATCTTGTTGTAGTTGTTGCCCCCTTGCCAGCGACGCTCTCTCTAGTTTAGCATACTCAGCCCGACTCAGCCTCATTGTTCCTGGCCCTAGACCCACGATTTTATGAGGCCAGAAAAACTGTGAATTAGGACCCGCCGGCCGGTACTAGGCCAAGTGGAAACGCAACCAAAGACGGGCCGCTGACGTCACAGCCCTCTTAAACCGGGCTGTGGGCTGTAGTGGAAACGCGCCATTAGTCTGACAGGAGAGCTCTCCTCCACCCTGGTTGTCGAAACATCTACTTCTTATATCCGTTAGCGCAGCTAGCACCAGATTCTAATAACAACAGCGCCGGTACCAGTGCGCCCTCTCTCTCTCTCTCTCTCTCCCTCGCTCGCTCGCTCACTCCCATGCTCGCACTTTGGCTGTGAGCTGCGGGCGCCTGATAAGCCAACATCCCCCACTTTCATCACTTACAGCACCCATGGTACAGGGCAAATGAAAAGTGTAACCGGGGTGAAAAGGGTGTTACATTTACTTAATTATGAATGTTGTTACATCAAGGCCAAAAATTAGGATGAGCACCAACGGTTTTCCCCTCCCAGAGCTACCAGCGCAGCGCCCCCCAGATCTGGCGCCCTAGGCGACCGCCTATTGGCGCGTTTCCACTACAGCCCGCAGCCCGGTTTAAGAGGGCTGTGACGTCAGCGGCCCGTCTTTGGTTGCGTTTCCACTTGGCCTAGTACCGGCCGGCGGGTCCTAATTCACAGTTTTTCTGGCCTCATAAAATCGTGGGGCAGGGCCAGAGGCAACGAGGCTGAGTCGGGCTGAGTATGCTAAACTAGAGAGAGCGTCGCTGGCAAGGGGGCAACAACTACAACAAGATGGACATATTTGACCGTGATTTAATTGTAATACACGTTTCAAAATGATGCCGAAGTAACAACATACTGATACCGGTTAGTAAAAACCATGAATTAATGCTTTGTCAAGTCTGCAGACAGACGGCAGGGGAAAAACCTTTTAAAATGCTTGTTTTCTAAATGGAGATTGGCTAAGCTAACGCAGTATATGCCCCGACCGTCCACACTCACAACAACGGCCTATACAGACATAAATAAAGCAGCGACTGTATTCACCATGACACAGGCAGTCTGTGGTTTGTACTTGTTTAACTGTTGTCTAGTTTCTGAACATATATGAGGAGCTGTGAGCTCTGAGTGCTAACAGCTAACGGCTGTGTTGTTTTTCTGGGGTCCTCTGAAGATCACGTCACGGCTCCGCCTACACTGCGTTACTATAGATACTGCCCCAGTTCCTAAACTGTAATGGAAATGCGCCATAAAGTGAGCCAGTCCTAACAAGGCCCAGCCATACCGAGCGGGGCCGAGCGAGGCCGTGTAGTGGAAACGCGACATAAGTCGCCTATGCCAAAAATCGGCCCTGCCAGTACATACAGTGGCAATGTCAAGATTTAGCAAAAATACACCTTTATTGAACATACAGTAACACAAATACTACAAATCCACATAACAAACAATCAAAATGAAAAAGGGTCGCCACTTATTATTATTTTAATAAAAGAAAAAAAAGTTTAAAAAAAAGTTTTTTTTTTGGGTACCTGGCTGGCGCCCCATAGCAGCGGCGCGCATATTTCAGCAGCGGCGCTGCGCCGCCGCTATTTGTATATAGGGGAAACACTGGATACATATT